TGAAGGTTTGTTGGGTTCCAAATGTATCCTGGGTTAGAGCCAGAAAGGGTTTTCATTTCATGATCTTGGGCAAAACGGACGACAGTGTCGTCGACCTCACTCCTGCGCAGTGAGGGCGGCTCGCGGGAGACCCAGCCTGGCCAAGCCCGGCTTCCTGCAGGGTCTGCGGTTCCCGCGACCTCCAGGCGGGGGAGATGGGCGGTCGCCGCCGCAGGGTCACGCCTGGTCTGGAGGGCTGCCCCTCGGGTCCCCAGCGTGCCCTGTGCTCTTTGGCGGCCTCCACGGAGTCTGGGACTGTGATACCACAGGAGTAGGGCGGCGACCCACCTGGCAGGACTCTGCTGCAGCCATGGCGCTGATCAAGGACACAGGTTTGTTGCTAGATGATGAGTTGGTGCGACTCTTTGGAAATCGACACCCAACAGGTTCTCCATGGTGAGAGGGGACGGTGTGGTGAAATCCAGGAAAATAGAGCCAGAGCTAATGGGCTCAGGCTTCACCTGCAGCTTGGCCCTCAACATCATCTGGAGCCACCCAGTTGGAAGTTGGGGCAAATTTCTGCAGCAAATACTTTTGGTTAAAAAAAGAGAGAGACAGGGGCAGGAGGCGGGAAACACACATTTCAACTGGAATTTTATTTCAAGTTCAGGTGGCTTTCGGAGGTGTAGAAGGATGAAATCATTTCAGCCAAGGACCACTTCATCCATCTAACAATTATTGTCCCAGTTATTATCTTCAGCTCCAGATTCAACAGCTTCAACAGCTGCTTGGGGGTCATGGATATAATTCCTTTAAATAATTTCTTCGTTATAATGTTAAGCACAATGAATTTTCCTCAGTGGATGGTGCTAGACGTTGTAGGAGGAAGGGGATTTATCCTGCTGTTCCAGTGGCCACACCACAGGTGAAGATGACAGGACCTTTGGTCATGCCCTGCCCCAGCCATGAACCCAGAATGCAAGTTCCCTCAGACACCTCACACGATCCCAGCCCAGATCTGGTGATCACTTTTCACAAGGCCCCATGCCTCCCACCCATATTCGTGCCTTGACTCCTTAACACTCACATAATTGACTACTAGTTGTGGCTCACCTAGAGAGTTGTCTTCTGTTTGTCTGCAGAATGCTCATCAGTTCTGGCTCGTGCAATTCAGCCAATTTCTCTGCTATATAGTGGGATTGCAACTATGCCTTTTCTTCTAAGATCTGAACCTCTGCGTTTGGGAGGTGGCCTCCCATCCAAGTTTGTCTTCATTGGATACTCTTCCCAGCTCTTGAATGCCATATTGAGTTCTCTTCCATCTTTTATATTTTACTTTTATTATAGATTGATATTATTTTAAATGTCTTTTTATTGATTTTTTTAGAAACAGGGGAAGGGAGACAGAGATAAACATCACTTGGTTGCCTCCTGCACTCCCCTTACTGGGGATCGAGCCTGCAACCTGGGCATGTGCCCTGACTGGGAATCTAACCCAGACCTCTCAGTCCATGAGATGACGCTCAATCCACTGAGCCACACTGGCCGGGCATAGCTTGATATTCTTTATAGTAAACGTTCCTTGTTTAAATCAATGTGTGATTTCTGACTTCAGATAGGAGCCAGACTAAAACACTTGATATCAATTATATGTCAGGCAGTGTTCTGGGCATGAACATGACAAGGTATTTGCTTTTACGGAGCTTACATTCTACAGAGGTTGTTAAATAAGGTCTAACACAAGATAGATTCAACTGTAATAACTCCATTCTGACCCTCAGTTACTGCACATACACACCCTGGCAGTTTTTTGTGTTTTTTTTTGTAAACATAAGGGCCTTGAGAAACCCTAAGAAAACTATAAAGATAAGGGGTTAATGAAGGCCTTGGGAAACTCAGAGAAACCATGAGAAGAAAGAAATTAATGGTTGCCCTGATCTAATAGCTCCTCTCGCCCCCTTCTATCAGTTCCCCCCTTAATGGTGCCAAAAGAAACACTAAGAATGTAGTTTTTTTTCTCTGTAGTTTGTGTATATATAAGTGGGCAACAAAGAAGGCTCGGGGCTGTCGATTTGGGGAGAGCCCCCCCCTTCAGCCTGCCGGTGTAATAAAGTGCTCCTGTACAATTCGGCTGTGCGTTTCTGGTTATCTCGTTGATGTTACAACACAACCATGCAATATTTTGAGGCAGAATATTCCAAGTGCAAAAAGGACAAGAGTAAAGACCCTAAGTGACAATGAAACTTCATGTGTATGAGAACTAGAAAGACCAGTGGGGCTAGACTTCAGTGAGCAAGGAGAGCAACAAGAGATGAAATTAAAGCAGCAAACCTTGTACGTAGGTAACCACATCTTGTTGTCATGGCAGTTTTGAGAATGAATGAAAGTAGTATACTAAAAGTTACACCAGGGTAATAGTAAACTGGAACTTATGATCACCTAATTTATAGGTCACAGTAAAGGAGTCTGGATACTATTTTAAGTATGACAAAATGTATTTGGAAGGCTTTAAGAAGTGATATGATCTGATTTTTTTTTAATCCTCACCCGAGGACATTCTTGCATTTATCTTCAGATGGAGTGGGAGGGAGAGAGGAAGAGAGAGAGAGAAACATCAACGTGAAAGGGACATATCGAGTGGTTGCTACTTGCATGACCTTACCCAGGGCAGGGGACAAACTACAACCGAGGTACATGCCTTAAGCAGGAACCGAACCTGGGTCTCTCTGGACCACAGGCCGACGCTCTAACCGCTGAGCAAAACCGGCCAGGGCTGATTTTTATTTTTAATTTATTACATTTTAATTTTTTTTTGAGAGGGAGAGATAGAAACATCGATGTGTGAGAGATACACCAATTGGCTGCCCCTTGCACGCCCCCTACTGGGGATCAAGCCTGCACCCCGGGCATGTGCCCTGACCAGGATGGAACTGGGGTCTCTCAGTCCATAGGGCTGATGCTCAATCCACTGAGCCACATTGGCCGGGCTGATTTTTAACAGCTGTCTCTGGCTCTGGCCGGTTTGGCTCAGCGGTTAGTGTCGGCCTGCGGTCCAGAGAGACCTGGGTTTGGTTCCCGCTAAGGACACGTATCTCGGTTGCAGTTTGTCCCCGGCCCTGGTTGGGTCGTGTAGGTGGCAACCACTCGATGTGTCCCTCACGTCAATGTTTCTCTCTCTTTCTCCCTCCCACTCTATCTGAACAAAAAATGGAAAAATGTCCTTGGGTGAGGATATAAAAAAATTAAAAAAATAGCCCTAGCCGGGTTTCTAAGTGGTTAGAACATCAGCCTGCGATTCAGAGACCCAGGTTTGGTTCCCGCTAACGGCACGTACCTCAGTTGCAGTTTGTCCCTGGCCCTGGTTGGTTTGTGAGGGTGGTAACCACTCGATGTGTCTGTTTCACATCGATTTTCTCTCTCTCTCTTTCTCTCCCTCCCACTCTATCTGAACAAAAAATGGAAAAATGTCCTCAGGTGAGGATAAAAAAATAAAAAAATTAAAAAAAATAAAAGCTGTCTCCGGCCCAGCCAGTGTGGCTCAATGGATTGAGTGTTCCTTTGTTGTCCCCTGGACTGGGAGGTCCTGGTTCCATTTCTGGTCAGGGCACATGCCCATGTTGCGGGCTCAATCCCTGGTAGAGGGAATGCAGGAGGCAGCCCAATGTTTCTGTCTCACATCAAGGTTTCTGTCTCTCCCTTCCTTTCTCTCTAAAAAATCAATAGAAACATATTTAAAAAAAATAAAATAATAAAATTATTGTTACCTGGACAATAAATTACAAGGAAGCAAAGGAGGGAAAGGGTGTGAAGACAACCACAATTATGAATATAGTGTACTCACAGAGGCTCTTTCTGGAGTCAGGGGCAGTTCCTTTTTTCATTCCCTCTAACATAGAGTTCCAGTATAAGGATTACCCTGGGCGTAAGGAAAGCTGTAGAGAGCGCATGCCTGGGCTGAGTGGAAGTGAAAAAGCAGCCATTCAAGTATCTTAATAAGTAAATGGAAATGGGATTGTCCAAACATGGCAGCATGGAGATGTTAATGGTGTTGTAGGGGGTGTGAGGTGTTTTCTTATATAACTGGGAGCTAAGAACTAATAAATCAAACAGAAAAGGCAGCAGGAACCTTGCTCTGGAGTTGTGCCCGTTATAGGGCTTAAGTTTTCTTTTTTTTTCAATCCTCACCCAAGGACATTTTTCCATATTTTGTTCAGATAGAGTGGGAGGGAGAGAAAGAGAGAGAAACATCGACGTGAAAGGGACACATTGAGAGATTGCCACCCACACTGCAATCGAGGTACGTGCCCTTAGCGGGAACTGAACCTGGGATTCTCTGGTCCTTGGGCCAATGCTCTAACCGCTGAGCCAAACCAGCCAGGGCTTAAGTTTTCTTTTTGGAGTTGATTGAAAGCTACTGAAGGATTTTAGGTAGGATAGTGATATATATATATCTAATATGGATGTTCTGACATCAGTGTAGGATGCATTTTAATGATCAAAGGCTGAAGGAGAAATGAAGTAGGAAAGAACATAAGGAAGAAAAACAGAATAATTCTCACTGTGGAAAGAAAGCAACATAATTTGTTAACTATACAAAGCAATGTATTTCATCTGCATAACAAACAAGGATTGCTATTTTCATATATCTGACACTGTCTTTATTAAAAATATTTTTTTCGTTATTGATTTTAGAGAAAGAGGAAGGGAGAGGGAGAGATAGAAACATCGATGAGAGACAACATCGACCAGCGCCCCCCTGCATGCCCCACAATGGGGATCGGGCCCACAACCTGGGCATATGACCTGACCAGGAACCAAACCTGTGACCTCTTGGTGCATGGGTCGATGCTCAACCGCTGAGCCACACCAGCCGGGTTATATGAGACTGTCTTATAAGAAACTTACTCAAAGTTACAATAGGTACCGAATGGCCAAACCAAGATTTAAAGCAGATTTGTTGTTAGAAGAAGGACAAAAACAAAGCGAACTTAAAAAACAAGGCTGTGATATCATATGTACATTCAGAATTTTTATTTCAAAACAAAGAACCACAGTAACATTAATAATATAAAACTTATTTTGAAATATTACAATCTGGTCACTGAGAAATGGGAAAACTTCCACACTGTGTTACTGCCAACCCACAGTTTTTGAGGAGTCAAAAGTGGAGGTGCAGTTGGAGGAAAGTCACCTGACCCAGCAAAGCCTCATGCCATAGTTCTGTGAGTTTCTACCCAAAGGCTCAATGACCAGAGGGCATGGTAAGAACTGAGAACTAAAATATTGTCATGGGCAAGGATTTGGCTAAAGGGCCTCAAATGTATAAGCACCAAGGAGAGAAAGGGAGCTCAAGCAACATATGAAAAAGGGGAGAGAGGGTGCCACCAGGGTCCTATCTTCATTTATAAAAATACTGAGAAACTAGAGAGTGGAGGTGTCCGTGACTTATGGCAAGTGCAAATACCTCCATCTTATCTAACACTTTGACTTTCCTCTAGCTCCCCTAGGAGGCCACATGTCCTGATTTCACACTCTCCTACTCCCATTGTCTGAGTCTGGAGTGAAGCAGAGTCCTTTACATGTTAGGAAGAAAGCCACAGATGCAAATCCCACCCAGAGAGGCAGTGTTACTTATATACAGAGGGATGAGTTGTAACACATTCCATCCAAAAGGGGCTATAGGAACAAAGAGGAAACAAGTTCCCAATAAACTACTTCCACCCAGAGCAAAGTGACAGTGCATATACATTCATACTCTCTCAAGTGTGGGCTACACTGCACATTTACTCATACTACCTCAAATGTGGTCTAAGGGAAAGATTCAAGTGCCTTTAAGGCACTTGACATAATACTATGGTAACATGATAACAAGAGTAACTTGACATGGAAACAGACAAAAACAGGCATGGGCTGACCCTAAAGCATTAACATACTTCAACTAGGTAACAGTCGATCAGGATGAATCCTCTCCTGGTACTGAGGTTACAAATTCCAAGTTAGCTATGAACACTCTCCTCTGAATTTTTTTAAAGCTAGAGCCTAAAACAAAACATTTTAAATCTAAACATCTAAAATACCCTATAGAACAAAATGGAGAAAGAAAAAATCAAACCTTTACCAAGAACCAATATTTTTGCTTGCTCTCACACAAGATAAGTGGTAGGAGTACTTAAAAAAATAAAATAAAATAAAAAAGGAGTCCACTATAAGAGAAGTTGTTTTGGTTCAGTGAGGGCAAAGGAGGATTAATTTCTACAAACAACCTTCCCTTCTCTGGACTCCATCCAAAATCAGAACCCATCAACCACCATTAACTACAATGCCCACTTTAGTAATAATCCTAGATTTCAAGTAATACTACATATAACCTTAAACAAACAAACAAAAAAAAAACAGTTCCAAAGGAAACCAGTAGCTTCTTTATACAGGCACATGACTTTTCTGAGAAACTGTACTTGAGAATTTCCATCTGAAGGACAGAAATTGAGAGGCGACCTGCAAACTTCACACACATCATATATCCTCCAATAATGCATTACATTTCTGCCAAAATTCTTCCCTTATTAAACTATAAACCTCTCCAGTATAAAAGCTTCCACCTTAAACTCTTTAAGTACCTCCCTCTAACCTCAATTTCCTTGCGTTTTCATCATTTGGTAAAATTACACTTATAAAAATAAATATTTATGCAATAAAACCAGAAGATAAAATAAATAAAACTCAAATTAATTTGCTCTGCAGAGCTGTATGGAAGTGAGGAAGGTGCTCTTATGTAATTAATTCCTCTCTGCCCTCCACACTCATGTATATCTGTTTCCTGGTGAGTGAGTCTGAGGCTGGGGGAACACTTCCTTCCACACATGCCCTCATGAAGCAGTTAAGGGAGGAAGAGCTGGCAAAGTTGTTAAATGCCAAGTAGCCAATCCCTCCTGAAATGAAGGTAGGTTCACTTGGTCTCTCCTAAACAGAAGAGAATGTCCAAAAAATGAAATGCTTAAAAAGCCATTGAAGATACAACTAACCCCAGCATTGGGGTCCTCTGAGTGCTCATGGAGTGTGGGGATGAGAAAAGAGTCAAGTAGCAGCATTCAGAAAACAGTCCTGGGTTACAACCTGATGAGGTCTCTCCCCATTCAGGGAGAGGTTGCTTTTTCATGTTGGGAGGGAGGTGGGAAGGAAGCATGGCTTAGACATTGGTGGTGGCCTCCTTATCAGGCTGAATGCTGTTCATCTCCATAACGGGGCCTTTGTTAGCTCTGCTCACCGCCTGTGCCTGACCTTCAAAGACTCGTGCAATTTCCTCAAAAGTCCTGCCTCGGGTCTCAGGAACTTTAAAGAAGGTGAAGACCAAGAAGATCGCGAGGAAGATAGTGAAGATAATAAATACGTAGGCTCCTAAATAGAACTACAAAAGGAAACAAACAAACAAAAAAGGAGTGTTAATATAAAAACCTGGTCACTGACAAACTCGTTTCCTTCACATCCATATTTCCAATAGACTTCAAGCCACAAGTCATAATTAATGAAAACAGGAAGGTTTCTTTGGAGATTCGTTTATAATTCCATTGCTAACTTACTGTATTTCTCTGCAATTTTGTATCATCCTTTTTCTGTTTATTCAAGTTAGCTGCTTCTAAATACCTATTGAGTATTTCAGGATGTTTGGTTATCGCTGTTAAAGTCTAGGCTGCCCTGGCCGGTTTGGCTCAGTGGTTAGAGCGCCGGCCTGCGGTCCGGAGAGACCCGGGTTCGGTTCCCGCTAAGGGCACGTACCTCGGTTGCAGTTTGTCCCCGGCCCTGGTCGGTCGTGCGGGTGGCAGCCACTCGATGTGTCTCTTCACATCGATGTTTCTCTCTCTCTCTCTTCCTCTCTCTCCCTCCCGCTCTATCTGAACAAAAAATGGAAAAAATGTCCTCGGGTGAGGATAAAAAAAAAAAAAAAAAAAAAAAAAAAAAGTCTAGGCTTATGGGAGGCTCGGAAATAGGAAATGCACTGTAGATGTCCAGGGCAAGTTCCTTCATCGAAATCAGCTCCAGGTAATTTTTTTAAAAAACAGTTTGTGAGCTGTCTTTTTTTTAATATATATTTTTTAAGCCCTCACTTGAGGACATTTTTACATCTATCTTCAGACAGAGCGCGAGAGAGTGAGGAAGAGAGAGAGAGAAACATCGACTGGTTGCCACCCACATGACCCCAACTGGGGCCGGGGACAAACTGCAACCGAGGTACCCTTAGTGGGAAATGAACCTGGGGTTCTCTGGTCCTTTGGGCCGACGCTCGAACCGCTGAGCCAAACTGGACAGAGCTTTTAATATGTCTTTATTGATTTTTTAGAGAGGGAGGGAGAGATAGAAACATGGGTAAGACAGAAGCATTCACAGCTGCTTCCTGCACGCCCCCTACTGGGATTTGAACCCTAAACCTGGCATGTGCCCTGACTGGCAACTGAACCAGTGACCTTAGTGCATGGGAGGATGCTCAGGCCACTGAGCCACACCAACTGGGCAGCTCCAAGTCATTTTATAACAGGACCTAACTCATTCGTTAATATCCTGTGCTTAGTGAACCTTTAAGATCATGAAGCCAAAATGCTAATTCAAATGATGGATATTAAATATTGGTTTGAAATCCTTTGAGGCTTGGCTTACCACTATTGTTTCTAGGTGGTAATATGCTTATATCATTTCAGACCAGTGGTCTTTTAAAAGTTCCCCGTTTTACGCTCCTACTTTAATCTTTCCTACTGTCATTCCTTCTTGTTCTATATGTCATTAGAAATGAGGGGAACAATATGTGGTCTAAAGCCCTTGAGATTCAATTCTTCAAGGTGTCAGTATCATATTGTAAACATGGCTTAAGTGGGCTGATTTCAAGATGAGCTAGATAAGTTTTGCTTTCATTTACTTACTGCAGCTGAAGGGAAGAGCAGTCCAACCAAAAAGGTGGCAGTCCAGTTGGAACAACCAGCCACTGCCATTGCAGCTGGGCGGGGTCCCTGGCTGAAGAGTTCGGCCACAATAAACCAGGGAATGGGGCCTGGGCCAATTTCAAAGAAGGCCACGAACACCAAGATAGCCACAATGCAAACATAGCTCATCCAGTTGTACTCATCCTATAGGAGGAAGGAACAGAGGAAAGTTAACATTAAAGACAGCCTGACATAGGCAGGATCTAACTTCCCAGAGATAAGACCCTGAAAAGATTCTTTTGTCCTGGGGTATAATGGAGCTCCTAGACTTAGAATAAAAAATGTGGGTTTTTTAAAAAATCCTAGCTATGTAATCACACTATCATTCTTACTAAGATCATTTCATCAATTGCAAAGTGGAAATAATTGCCTCATTATTTTAAGAATTATTTTAAGAATTAATTTATATAATGCATTTTACCAGCTATATATATATATATATTATATAGATGTAAAGAGTATATCAATTTATTTACCTATCTGTGGTGATCTACTTTTCTTAAAACTCTGGGCATGACGCTTCTCCCAAATTTGACTATATCATTTCCAGTCTCAACTATTCACGCCCATGACAGAGAATCAACTATAACCTCTCCTTCCCCCCTCCCCTCCCTTTTCCTCACTCAAAGAGCACTCACCTTTAATAACAAGGAAATAGTCATGAGGATGGAACAGCAAGCCATCCCTCCAAGGCCAATCATATGTAGAGTCCTCCTTCCAGCCCTTTCTACCAGAAACAGCTAAAAAAAGAATGTAACATGACCTTCTGCTCTTCTTTTCATGAACACATTGTATGAGTTACCCGAATCTGCCTAAGAACAGCAGGGTACTTTTTATAGTCATACATCCCCTTTTCCAGTTCAAAGTTTAATATATCTGATATAACCCTTTCTATTGCCTCCCTTTCTCCCACCCATTCCATATTTGTTCGGAAAAAGTGAAGACTACTTACACCCATCATTCAGTATTTCTCCCTCTGCCCCACAAAGAGGAATTAAACAAAAGGTTTAAACAACGGCAAGGAGGTGCAAGTACACACAATGCATCTTTGAACATGTGTAGCAAGAATTCCTCTCCCCTCTGACCACTGTACCCCCAAAATGACCAAACCATCCAACTTACAGACACTACGGTGAAGATGGTATTAACTACACCAGCACCAATGGTGGCATAGATCGGCTCCTCAACACCAGCATCTTTGAAGATTCCTGTTGAGTAAAAGAACACCTAGGAGGAAAAAAAAAAAAGATGCAACTTTGAAATAGCAATTGTGCATGGCAGCTGAAAAAATAGGACCAACCTACTATTTTGAGTATCAAGTTTGTTTTGGCAAAACACTGCAACAAAATGATTTAATCATATCAATCAAAGACTGATGAGAAACCATCAGGGCATGAATCAGTACTTAAAGAGGTGGGACAAGGGTGTTCTTCATATCCAAATATTTTACTTGCAAATGGATAGAAGGTATAATATTCTCTCTTCCCACAACCGAGACTCAAAAGAAGGAAGTTGATATTTGCATAGAATATAAGGGCTACCTGCCAATTACTAGTTTCCCATTTTGTTTTCTTTAATTTTTTTTTCAAGCCTCACCTGAGGACATTTTTCTATTTATCTTCAGATAGAGTGGGAAGGGAGGGAAAGAGAAAGAGAGAGAAATATTGATGTGAGAGGGACACATAAATCTGGTTGCCTCCTGCATGAGCCCAACCGAGGCCAGGGACAAACCGCAACCCAGGTACGTGGGCTTGACCAGAATCAAACCCGCAACTCATTGGTCCACGGGCTGATGCTCCAACCACTCAGCCAAACCAGACAAGGCTAGCTTCCCATTTTGCATCCCCACTCTCAACTATCATAATCTCTATTCTAGTTGTAAAAAATATGTACAGTGGTAAGGCCACCTCAGTCTGAAGTTACCAGTGTGTTCCCAGATGTCTTGGTTTCCTAATTGTTTCCCAGGGCTTTCCTGATTTTAGAATGTAAAGTCCTAGAGAAAAGCCAGGGCATATAAACTCTTGGATATCTACTTCGGTTTTATGGCCTACATTATCACTGATGACATCATGTAAGATAGGTCAGAGTTAGAAAGGTCTGGAAAAATATGAGTGATCAAAAAATCTGTGTTGTCCTATATACTGAAAAAAGTCTAGAAGATGACAAATGTTAACCATTTGTTCCAAGACTAAGGGTGACACATTTTTTATTTTATTTCATTTTTATTTAACTTTCTCATTGTTCCACATGGAAAACATGTACTATAAATATAATTTTAAGAAATAAAACCAAAACCTGGATAATCAGCATTTTCTGAGTGGCTGCTACCTGGCAAGCATTGTGAGGGACTATATAAGGTGAGCTATTCACCTCTGATCGGATGTTTTAAGTAAAATACTGAAGGATGTCTTAGACACAAAGCTGATACTCACAGCGTTGATTCCAGAGAGCTGCTGAGAGAGCTGGAGCATGATGGAAATCAAGATGGGCTGCTGGTAGTTGGGTGATCTAAAGAGCTCCAGCACAGTGGCTCGCTTTTCTTGTGCCATCCTAGCACTCTCATCTTTCATCTCCTGGATGTCCTGAGTCACATCTTCAGTGCCCCACAACTGCTGGAGGACTGGTGAAGAGAACAAGAGGAAAGGATAAAGGTAAGATGCTGTCCAGAATTCATTTATCCCTTAAGACAGCTGAGGAGAAGCCATTAGAGATGAGCCCTAGACATGGCTAATCAATCAACATCCATGCCTGAACTTACCTTCTCACCTCTTTCTTTAGGGGGTCAAAAGTCCCTGACTTAATAGTAATCAGAAAACTCTTCACTTGGGTTCTGAGGGGCAGGGCAAGGAGATGACAAAAATGGATCCAATATCCTCATCCCAAATCAAACCACAACCCTATAATTCCTACAGTGAAGGTGTGAAGGATACTCACTCCTCTTAGCACTGTCCTCTTCCTTTCTGTTAATCAGCAAGAATCTAGGACTTTCTGGGCAAAATGGAAGGGCTGCGCTTTGTAGGAGAGCTGGAAGGATGGTGAAGCCCAACAGCAAGGGCCACAGATCTTCAGTTCCCAAAATGTATTTCAGACCAAATATCTAGAAACCACACAAAAATAATAGTATAAATCCCATACTTTATAGGCCACAAATTGAGTAAAACAAACAAAAAATTCAGAAAATTTTCTATTCTTTTCTACATGTTTCCTTTCCTACCCTGCTTGTTTCTTCACCTGTTTGTGAACTATAATAATAATATCTAAATCTTAGGTATAGTTGAATATGTGTCAGACATTCTTCTGAGTACTCCATCTGTTAACTGTATTTTCGGCTGCTGGCTCCCTACCACTGATTGCGTCCGAAATCTGGCCATGTGCCCTGACTGGGAATTGAACTGGCAACCTTTTGGTGCACAGGACAATGCTCAACTAATTAAGCCACACTGGCCTGGGCTATTACCTCTTTTAATGATACTTGAAACTAACACTGATTAAGTTTAAGTTCTAGAGTACCTGGGCCACCAGAATCCCGATGACGATGCCCAGCTGGTGGAGAGTGCCAAAGGCTCCCCGCAGGGCAGTAGGAGAGACTTCTCCAATGTACATGGGCACAAAACCTGTGCAGAGTCCGCAGAAGACGCCAATAACCAACCGGCCCAGGATCAGCATTGCAACTGACTCCGCTAATTTGCAGAATCCCAAAAGGCAGCCACCAATGATAGCCACTAGATTGACAATAAGCATTGAATTGCGCCTAAAAGTTTAAACAAAGACAAGTTAGCAAAACAATCCCTATCTTTTTCCTTTCTTTCCATATTAAACTGTCCCCCAAACTTATACATCTTTTTAAAAATTTTCTATTTATTGATTGATTTTTTAGAGAGGGAATGAGAGCGAGTGAAAAAGGAACATCAACTCATTGTTCCACTTATTTATGTATTTATTGGTTGATTCTTTTTTTTTTTTTATCCTCACCCAAGGACATTTTTCCATTTTCTGTTCAGACAGAGTGGGAGAGAGAGAGAGAGAAACATCAATGTGAAAGGGACACATGGAGTGGCCACCACCCGCACGACCAACCAAGGCCGGGGACAAACTGCAACCGAGGCACGCGCCCTTAGCGGGAACCGAACCCGGGTCTCTCCGGACCGCAGGCCGATGCTCTAACCGCTGAGCCAAACTGGCCAGGGCGGTTGATTCTTATATGTAACCTGACTGGGGATCAAACTCCCAACCTTGGCACATGGGGACAATGCTCTAAGCAACTGAACTATCTGGACAGGGCATAGATCCTCTCTTTTGATTTAACTTTTCCACTTCCTATCATCAGAACATTTCTAGTTGGGATAACTGAGATCAATGGTTCTTATACCTCTATGTGCATAAAACTCACCTAGAGAACTTGTTTAAGATTCTCCTCTTTTAAAAAAGTATGTTTTTATTTATTTATTTATTTTTTAGAGAGACAAGGAAACATCTATTAGCTGCCTCTTGCAGGCCCCCTACTGGGGATCAAACCTGCAACCCGGGCATAAGCCCTGACTAGAATCTGGTGACCTCTTTGTGCATGGGCCGATGCTCAATCCACTGAGCCACACCAGCAGGGCAGATTCTCTTCTTTTAAGTTACAACTGTAGCCTAGAATTTTAGCGAGCACTTTATTTTTATTTTTTAAGTGAATTCATTGGGGTGATATTGGTTAATAAAATTATATAGGTATCAGGTATACAATTCTATATCATCTGTATATTGTATTGTGTATTCACCAACCCAAGTCAAGTTTCTTTCCATCATCATTTATCCACCCTATACCCTCTTCTACCTCCTCCTCCTACCCCTCTTTCCTTCTGGTAATCACTGTGCTATTGTCTGTTGTCTGAGTTTTTTGTTTTGTTTTGTTTTGTTTTTGCTTAATCCCTTCACCTTTTTCACCCAACCCTGCAACCCCCGGCACCCCCGACAGCTGTCAAGTCTGTTCTCTATCTATGAATCTATTTTGTTATTTTATTTTGTTCATTAGATTCCACATATAAGTAAAATCATGTGGTACTTGTCTCTGACTGCCTTATTTCACTTAGCATAGTGCTCTCCAGGTCCATCCACGCTGTTGCAAAGGATAAGATTTTAGCATGCACTTTAGCCAGCAGTTCTGAAAGCAGATTTGGCCACAGACAAATTTGGCCAGAAGTTTGCTAGAAACTAAAACTGTCCCACCCTAGTCCGGCCGGTGTGATTCAGTGGTTGAGCATCGACCCATGCACCAAGAGGTCACCGGTTCCATTCCAGGTCAGGACACACGCCCAGGTTGTGAGCCAAACCCTCAGTGGGATGCATGCAGGAGGCGGCCAATCGATGTTCTGTCTCATCGATGTTTCTCTCTCTCCCTCTCACCTCCTCTCTCTCTAAAATCAATAAAAGAAAAAAATAAAATTGTTCCACCCCAGATTTATCAAATCATTAGGTTTGACTCTGAGATGGGCCCAACAACCTGTGTTCTAAAAAGCCCTCCAGTGATTTGGTGCAAGCTCAAGTTTAAGAATTATTGCCGTAGGCAACTCTGATATATATAGCCAGTCCATGAACATACTCAAGAGATATTTTTGGACCAATGATTCTTACTGCATTTAGTTATAATGTAGTTGCTTAGATATATCACCAATATATAAACGATAGATTTCAGACAAGTTTTTCTACATCGCCAAAAAGTTTTACGCAAAAAGCAGTCAACTCCAGCTTTCCTCCTCTAGGCTAGACTATGGTGATGTCATTAACAATTAGTGTTGATAACTAGTGTCACATAATAAATTACTGCATAATAAATTACTGAAAACATGGCAGGCAGAGCCACTGGGGACAATGCTGATAGAAGCCCGAAGTAAAAGACTAACACTGAAATATTATAAAAGCTGTTGGGAAGAGTCAGCACCATGTACTTCAACAGTGACTCTTGACTTGGGTGATCCACTGAAATTACTTGGGGGGCTTTGAAAAATACTGAAACACAGGTCCTGGGGCCTGATACTGGGACTTTTAAGTTTCCTGGGGAGATAATAAATGTGCAGCCACAACAGAGAACCCTTTTAAGAGAAAAATCTCATCTTTCATTCTCAATTTTACCTTTCTCTGCATTCCTTTCCTTGTGACCCCTTCTGGTTGTTGTTTGCTAATACAGTAATAGGAAGAAGCCATCTTAGTTTTGAGAAACCCTTGTTAAAATTTTAATGCTTTCAAAAACAAAACAAAAAGTAAACTATCAAATTAACTAGTTTGCTTCCATTTATTAAAAATTTTGAATTCCGTTTATGTTTCCAGAACATCTAATTAGCAAACTGAATGGTTTTTTCACTAGTCATTATTGAAAGTATTCTACACTCTAAGATGTTTACTTTATTAAGCCAGCATAGGGTGAGAAAATACAATTTCCTTTTTCCAGAAAAAAAAAAAAAAAGTCCCGTTTAGTTATTTGGTCATTATCCATATTTGCCAAAGACTTAAGGATTACAAAATATTTCCTCCCTATTTTGCTGTGTAAAATAATGAACACATTCACATAAAACCCCAAATTTTTAAGAAAAGCAAACAACTAACCTTGCAAATAAAGTATGTTTCTGGGAAATTCCACAGTGAACATAACTGGAAAACTGAATTAGCTTAACTCGGACTGCAAAGCCAATCATTCACATGGCCCATCTCTCGATGGCTGGGTGGAAGCTACACAGGGCAGTAGAGCCCCAAGCAAGAGTAGTCAGTCATATTCAGTGCCAGCTGGACTAAGTTTCCCTTGATCAGAATTTGAGGTGCTCTCATTCAAATGTATCATCACCGTCCCATCCTAATTCTCAATACTTGTCCTCAGTGCAACCAGAATAGCCCCCTTCCTTGTCCAGTTTCTGGTCAATACCTGCCAAAGCGGTTGACAAAGAGTCCAACGGAAGAGGATCCAATCATACCACCAACGGAGAAGATGGCCACAGACAAGGACCAGAGGGACGTTAGTAACACCTCAGTGGGAAGCTTTTCTAACCTCTCTTCCAAAGTGTAATTGATAAAGTCCTTTATGATCTGCAAATTAAAATGGTTGGTGGGAGGGCAGACTGTTACAGTTGAATGAGAAAAAGAGACAAATACTGGGGGTCTTTCTTTCCCTAAGAACACAACATTACAATTACTACTTTATAGGTAGAGAACGAAGGGAATGACTAGATGGGGATGAAAATGAGAGGTAACATATTGGAGTTAATGTTACTCTGAAAAGAAGCTTTTATTTGTTCCAAAATTCCCAGGAGGTAGTAGCACTGATATTCAATGAGCACCCCAGCCCTCTCTGAAGAGCCTTATCCTTTCTTTGTAACCAACTAAACCATAAGGGATAATAAAGGAAGTATTTCACCATAGATTGAGAGGAAGAATGGGTACAGTGCAGGACATAGGGAGCAACTGAGTTTTGCTTTAAGGATTCAAGTAGACTTCCCAATAGCATGCTCTCTTTTCAGTCTTAGCCAAGCTAGATAGCAAATTTGTTTGACACTCTTAATTCTTGAAACCCTACTTAAAGGAATAATTTCCTTATTCAAAATTCTAACTCCAGTTGCCTGGTACTCACCACCTCAGGGGCATTGATGACTCCAGCATTGTAGCCAAACTGGAAAGAGCCTATAGCAGCAATGGTGATGGCAAAGACCAGAGGTGCGGTGACCTGGGAGGATTGGGGGTGGGTGGGAAACAGTACTTAAAACTCTTGATAATTGTCTCTTATCAATTACAGAGATGTATTACCATAACTTATCCTATGATTGGTATGAAAAGAACAAAAACTTAATAAGATTTAGGTAATAAACACAAAAGAACAGGTTATCACTGAAGACTTTATCTGGAAATATATGGATAAGCATGTAGAGTAAACTTCGGAAAGGGGGCAAAAAAATTTGGGAAGGAAAAAGTTAAGAAGAACTGAGTTAGTCAATTTGGAATTCAAAAGATTGTCCCTGGTAAAAGCAAACAGAACTGCATCGAGATATGAAAGAATTTGGGACACAGGAAAAGACATTTAGAATTCTTAAGAACAGATTATTTTGGAAACAGCTAGATCCAGTGCAGTCTTACCTGTACCCTAGACTCTACAGAAGCCCCAGACCATGTTAGTGGATATGTCTTTATCACTGAGCTGCTCCTTTCTCTCTCTCTGGACCCTGTAATCTACGGTCTCTACCCATTTCATCCTGGCCCCATTTGAAATCCTTCCAGTTTATTTAATACTGTATTGCTATCCCCCACCCAGCAGGGGGAGAGCACAAATTCACTCCCAACCCAACTTCACATGGGAGACATATCATGGGAGAACAGAAATCAACCCAGTCATCTCTCAGCTTGCCAGGAATAATTCAAGTGGGTTTTATTTCAGATCTCCAGCTCCAAGTAGCTCAATATCTATGCCTGAGTCCATCCCTAACCATTCCTGAAACTCCTCCTCTCTCCAGTCAGACAAGAGTGGCAAGCTGAGAACTTCAGTTGCCCAAACTGACCTTGCCTCCCAGGCAACTAGGTATAAGGACTCCTGAGGCCCCCTGCCAGGCCTCTTTCTGTTTAATTCTTTTCCCTGTAGTAAAAACCTCTTTTTGCCTTCATCACATCATCCTTGAGTGCCTTTTCTTCTTCCTTCCTATTTTTCATCCCTTCTCTTATCTTCCTTTATTTTCAAATAAGTTTACCTTAATGAAAATGCTTTTCTCCCTACAAATACTGCATACATAACACACACTAACATTACTATATCATGCGCTCACAATCATAACCATAGTTAGGAAGGCCAACTGAAATCCTCTCTCCTTAGTATCCAGAAAATTCCACAGGTCATAGAACAGATGGCTGGACACCAGGCCCACAAACAAATATCTGGTCTTTTCAAGGCCTAATGCTTCCAGAGAAGTCCTCATACTGCGCCTGGACCCACACTTGTAATCATCACAATCAGGCAGCCCCCGATCCTCTGTACATTCAACTGGCTCATCCTCAGTGGAGTGTAATTATGTAAAATAAACCTGAGAAACAAACTCAACTTCTCCATGTGACTTTCCCAGAGACAAGAAGGTGGTGGAACTGGAATAAATCCTTTACAGGATATGAAATTCAAAGAGAACTGGTGAAACTGTAGCCCTGCAGGCTGGAGAAGAAATGAAAAGGCCTTAGGATGGCTTGGTGACAGGATAAAAGAGAACACAGCAATCACCATTATGTTTGCCTTTCAGAGTGTACCCCAAACATGTAAAAATAATGATAATCGTATCATTCTTACCTTCTGTGTCCCCATGGCCCTAATTTTTTTTCGAATCTTCAAGAAAGATCTAGGAACGGGATTCCAGAGACACCTCTTGTATCCAAAAAACCTTCAAAATGTCCTTCTCTAGCAGCAAGTTTTCGATCAGGTGATCAGTACCACTCTACATCTCAGCCTCGGGCTCACGTTAGAGAGCACACCAGGCATCTATTTATAACCCCTGCAAAGGGTGGAGCCAGGAGGGAGCCGAGCCCCCAGCCCTTCCCCAGAACCGCCAATCCCATGACCTTTCGGAATCTTGTAACATCAAATTCAACCCCCACTCTAGGCAACAGCCCCCTCCTTGCCGTCATTTAAAACCACATCCTTTTCCCAACCCATTACGTTTTTTGAGCTGGTCCTCCTTCCCTCTTCTAAAACAACCACAGCTTGTCTTTGTTTCACAGACAAAATGCTACTAGAAAAGCCTGGAGGGAGGGCAAATTTATTTTTTGCTTTCACGACTGCTCAGAATTGAACCAATCTGTCAGATGAGATTAAGTTCTATCCTTGTAAGGCCAAGAGAAGTGGCTGCCGCTATCTGAGAATTAAGGTTGTTTGAAGGAGTGTAAGCAGAATTCATAATCCTATGAAATTTATCAGCTGCTTTTTGATTGTTAAGTCGGTCTACAGTGTTGAAGGACAGTCTGGGAGGAGAAAAGGGAGGGAAAAACTGGGCCAAGGTGTGGTGCTACTTGTCCTCTAATTGGCATAATCACTCCAGGAAGGAAGGAAACCTAAATACCCAGAAGCCAGACCAACTCCCCAAAACTTAAGGAGAAAATTAACTGCCTGTGGGATAAGATTCAAACTCTTTTTTTTTTTTTTTAAATTTTTGTATTTTGTGTTTACTTTTTGGTATTCAAACGCTTTAACATCTCGTCCACCAAACACCCATTCTGAATTCTACCCTTTCTGCAAGCTTTGCCTCTAGTCTCTGGTTTATAACATCTAGAGATGAGACAGTTATCAAATTCAGTTAAACAGGTACTTGCTGAGCATATACTATCATCTATTCTTCAAGGATTCATTAGTATATAGGACAAAAAAGTCCGTGCCCTTGAGGAATTTATAAAATTTCCTTTCTTCTTCCACTTAAAAAAAAAGGAGAAGAGGGAGAGGGCCTGGAGGGGAGGTTTGCGGGGTGGGGGTACTAGGTCAGCTGATTCTTACAACTGGAAAGAATTACCAATATGCTATGAATGTGAAGTTTTTAAAAGAAAAGTGTGAGATAAATATCTCATTACTAAGCTATACAAGAAAACTGAGCAGATCATTAGCAAAAAGATAAGAAAAATGTGAAGAGAGGAAAATGAAGGGTAACAAAAGGAGAAAAAAGAGGTTCCAGTGTGAGAGTTTACAAAGCAAAACAAACTAGTTGTGGTTCAAGAGCTGGATAAGTGAGAGATTATGTCAGGGATTTAAAAAAACAAACAAACATGTTTTTATTGATTTTTTAGAGAGAAAGGAAGGGAGAGAGAGATAGAAACACTGATATGAAACAGAAACATCTATTGGCTGCCTCCCGCACACCCCCTATGGGGTATCAAGCTCGAAACCCCGGTATGTGCCCTGACCAGGAATGGATCTGGGACTTCTCTGTCCATGGGACAATGTTCAGCTGGGCGATATCAGGGATCTAAGTGAGAGGAAATATCATTGGTCAAATTCCCAATGCCCATTAATTTGTAGCCCAGCAACCCCTTAAGTATGGGGGAAGAGAGTGTGGGTTTAGGGAAGCACAGTAAATAGACACAGTTTTTCTAGGTAAACCAAAGTATACATTCCTTTGGGGGTTGCGACTGAGGTCCTAGCATTGAAACAGAAACTTCTGGACCTGAAACAAATCAGATTATGTTGTCTCATTTCCTTGAATGAGGAAATTTTCTAAAGTTTGAGACAACTGAGGACAAGTGAAACGTGATGTCCAAGGCAATAGTCCCTGAGGGGACATCGCCCCTCCCCCATCTCATCCTGTTTTCCTGGAAACACTGAGTATAGAGGCCCCTCTAGTTACCACAGCAACTGAATTAGCAGCCGAAGGAAGGTGGATATCCTTTATGGCAGCGTTGTCTAATAGAAATATAATTCGAGCCACTTACATAATATTAAAATTTCCAGTAGCCACAGTAAAAATTTAAAAAGATACAAGAGAAATTAATTTTAATAATTATTCTATTTGATGTAATATATTCAATATAATATTATTTCAGCAAGTATTCAATGTAAAAATTAAGTTAGTTCATTTTTTTCTGCTAAGTCTTCAAAATTCACTATATATTTCATATTTACAACACATCTCCATTTTAGATTCTAAATTTTTTACAGTTAAAGTAATATATTGTTTTATTTATTTTTTATTATTTTTTTAATCCTCACTCGAGGACATTTTTTGACATTTTGTTCAGATAGAGTGGGAGGGAGAGAGAGGGAGAATCATTGATGTGAAAGGGATACATCAAGTGGCTGCTACCTGCACGACCCAACCAGGGCCGGGGACAAACTGCAACCGAGATACGTGCCCTTAGCGGGAACCAAACCTGGGTGTCTCTGGACCTCAGGCCAATGCTCTAACCACTGAGCAAAACCGGCCAGGGCAAAGTAATATATTGTTTTATCAAAACAATACAGTTGTGTTTAATGGGAAAAAATTTAATTTTTTATTTATTATTGGTTTTTGTGGTACGTGCCCCTAGTGGGAACCGAACCCCGGGACTCTCTGGTCCTCAGGCTGACGCTCAACCACTGAGCCAAACTGGCCAGGGCCGGGGAAAATATTTTAAATTGTTTCTTTTTAAAATAATTAAAACGAGCCATTCATTTCCTTAGTTGCACTGGCCACATGTAAATATTCAACAACCAATGAGGCTCACATGGTTGAACCTTGCAGCTAACAGTAAGACCACCACGATGCCCTCTTTCCTCTAGTCTTTTCTCCATTCTTTTTTTTTTTGGCGGGGGATAATTAATTAATTTTTTATTACAGATGTCCCTCCTTTCCCCCCATTGACATCCTCCTCCCTTCTCCATTTTTTTTTATCTTTGGCTTTATTATATGTCTCACAATGCCATTCTTGGCTCTAAATCATTTTGTCTTTTCTTTCTCCCTCTCCCTAGCCTTAAAATAATTCTTTAGCCCTGGCAGGTTTGGTTTAGCTGTTAGAGCATCGGCCCAAGGACCATTGAGTCTCAGGTTTGATTCCGGTAAAGGGCACATACCTTGGTTGTGGTTAGCCATACAGGAGGCAAGCAGTCCATGTGTTCCTCTCTCTTCCTCCCTCCCTCCCTCTCTCCCACTCTACCTGAAGAAAAATAGAGAAATATTCTCAGGTGAGGATTTTAAAAAAATAATAATTATTTTATTCTTTAATGTTTTCCAAGAGCAAATGGTACCAATGAAATTAAAAGTAGAGCCCTGTCCGGTTTGGCTCAGCAGTAGAGCATCGGCTGGTGGACCAATGAATCGAGAGTTTGATTCCGGTCAAGGGCACGTACCTTGGTTGTGGTTCATCCCCAGCCCAGGTCGGGGTCTTGTGCGAGGCAACCAGTCAATGTGTCTCTCTCACATCGATGTTTCTCTCTTTCTCTCCCTTTCTCTCCCTCCCACTCTATCTGAAGATAAATAGAAAAATATCCTTGGATGAGGATTTAAAAAAGAAAGAAAGAATTAAAAGTACATCTGTCCTATCCCATTTACTCCGAGCAAGCTCCAGTGTAATTTAGAACACAGTGTTTGCCCCAGTAATCATTTGCCCAATATTTATTGAAAGAATAAGTGAAATAATTGTAAAGGCCCAGGATTACAACTGTCCTAAAATAATTTGCGTAAACCCCTATGACATCGGTAGAATATTTCTTCCTGGTAAAAAGAAAGGAGGGTGAAAGGGAGAGAGATCTGAAACCTGTTTTCTCTGGCAAAACTTAGTCTGAGATGCCCTGGCTGGTTTGGCTTCGTGGTTAGAGCGTCAGCCTGCGGACCAGAGAGTCCCAGCTTCAGTTCCCGCTAGGCGCATGTACCAAAAAAGAAAAAGGAAAAAAACTACATCCACATGAAGACTTGCACACAGATATTTATAGGAGTTTTATTCATAATTGCCCAAACTGGGAAGCAAACAAGATATCTTTCAGTAGATGAAGTATAAATAAACTGTGGTACATCCAGACAGTGGAATATTAGTCAATGCGAAAAAAAATGAACCATAAAACCATGAAAAGACATGGAAGACCCTTGAATGTACACGAGTAAGTGAAAGGAGACAATCTGAAAAGAATACATATTTATGGTTCCAACTACACAACATTCTGCAAAAGGCAACTACAGAGACTTTAGTAAAAAGATTTTTGGTTGCCAGGGATTTGGGTGGGGATGGGAGGAGAGATAAATAGAGCACATAGGATTTTTAGGGAAGTGAAACTATTCTATATAATGCTATAATGATGGATATATGACATTATATATTTGTCTAAATCCACAAAATGTACAAGAGTGAACCCTAATATAATGTCTATGGGCTTCGGGTGATTATGTGTCAATGTAGGTTTACCATTGTCACAAAAGTACTGCGATGGTGGGGGAATGTTTATTATGGGGAGCTTATACATATGTGGGGGCAACTGATACATGGGAAATATCTGTACCTTCCTCTTACTTTTGACATGAACTTAAAACTGCTGTTTAAAAAACAAAACAAAACAAAAAAACTAGCCCTGGCTGGTTTGGCTCAGCGGTTAGAGCGTGGGCCTGCGGTCCTGAGAGACCTGGGTTCGGTTCCCACTAAGGGAACGTACCTCAGTTACAGTTTGTCCCCGGCCCTGATCGGTCATGCGGGTGGCAGCCACTCGATGTGTTCCTTTCACATCGATGTTTCTCTCTCTCTCTCTGTTCCTCTCTCTCCCTCCCACTCTACCTGAACAAAAAATGGAAAAATGTCCTTGGGTGAGGATAAAAATAAATAAATAAATAAAATCTAAAAAAAAAAAGATAAGATGACCAATTTCCTATACAAGCAATCTTCTCCAATCTTGAGAGCAGAGTCTGTGCCCATTTCATTTCTTTCTTTCTTTATTTTTTTTATTTTTATTTTTTATCCTTACCCGAGGACATTTTCTCATTTTTTTGTTCAGGTAGAGTGGGAGGGAGAGAGTGGAACAGAGAGAGAGAGAAACATCGATGTGAAAGGAACACATCGAGTGGCTGCCACTGCACGACCGACCAGGGCCGGGGACAAACTGCAACCGAGGTACGCGCCCTTAGCGGGAACCAAACCCAGGTCTCTCAGGACC